TATATATATATATATATATATACAATTATAAATAAATATACCTAATTATATGTATACAAAATATGTCCACATTAGATACAAAATATATCCAACAAATATTCTTTCTTGTAAAACTTTTGTTTAATACAAGAAAAGTAATAATAATAATAAGACATAAAAAATAATTTAAGAAATGATTTTTGCATTGTTTTTTTTTATGAGAAAGAATCACATTTTATCTCATCATACATATATACTATATACATATACACGATTATATATATATATATATATATGTGTGTGTTTTTTATTTTTTCAAACTTGATTTTATGTAAAAGTAACAATACAAAATTATTTTTTAATGTTGTATATATATTATTATTATCATTACTTTTTGTATCAAACAGAAATTTTAGAAAAAGAAGAAACTATAATGTGGACGTATTTATATGTATATGTTTTTATATAAACAATTTTTTTAGATAGTTAATAAACTTTAATAAGATATACGTTTTTAATCTAATTTATATTTGCTTTATATTTTACTTCAGAAGAGACTTTTGAATTTACTTAGAATCTAGACGATGATTTTAATCTAGATATGAAAGTAAATTGTAATAAATAATTTAGTTGCAATGGTTGATGCAACCGACATTTGATTTCCAAGATTATAGTAAGTAAAATTAAGAAATATGATATTTATAAAAAAATCTGACAGTGAAAAGTGACGTTCTATGTCACGAACGTCGACAGATGACCAACTTTCGAAGATTTCATCGTGCCTCGTGGCAGTCGTTTACCCCGCGGCAAGAGGGAGAGCTGATACGACGGAGGGATTGGATAGATAAGGATAAGGAGGACTCCCTTTTTAAGATGCCAGAAAGTTTGCGATTTTTATGATCGAGGATGTGCTGCGACTGCTATCAGCTATCGGTGTTATTAAAGCCTCGACTCGATTTCCATGCATCTCATCGTGAAGTTGCCAGTCCAAATGGCGTTGAGGGTGATAGGATGGGGTTAGAAAGTTAGACAGACAGAACGATGAAGGAGGGCAAAAGGAGGTGCGGTGTGTCGCGCGCGGTCGGCTAAATCGGGGCCAGGTCGTGCCGGGCGAAGTATATAGTAGTTATAAGATATCGAACGGGGTCGAAGATGAGGGTGGGCCCGCCGTGTCGCCACTGCCACCGCCGCGATTAAGTCCTCTCACTCTCCGGGTGCGCACTTTCTATACGGTCGCGAAAAGCCGTCAGGACAAAATTGTGTCACGCACGTAACGGCATGTCGAGGAAATTTGTAATCGATTTTAAAATTTGACTCGCTCTCTAAAAACTGGGAAGTTTGAAGAAATATACGAGTAAAAAAAGCAGAGGAAAAAATAGAAAAGTAGAATATATTGTATACACTGTTAAATCTGTAGTATCAAATTTAACCCTACTTAAGTAGTCATTGCTCCTTTATTTAATATACATATAATTATTTGTAACTAGAACAATATCGTTATTTTTAAATAAAACAATGGAGTTAAACCCAAATTTGGGTTAAATTTAAACTATTTAAAATTATTTAACTCCAGTGTTTTAGTTAAAAATAACTATTTATTAAGTAGAAGTAGTGGCGACTTAAATATGGTTAAAAATTTTGCACTATAGATTTAACAGTGTATATGTATTATATATATTATATATTATATATTATATATAAAAACATAATTTTATTATATATGTATTAAATAATTGTATTAAAATTATTATTAACATTATTATTAACAGATTAGTAAAAAAATTCTATTATTGTTGAAAAAAGAATATCATTTAATATTCATATGACAACGATGAAAAAGCAATGGGGTTGCTCTTAGTTCGTATATACTTAAAGTGTCCCTGGAGTCTATGAAAGCTCTGAACGGTATCGTTAGTATCCTTCGGGACTCACATATCGGGAGAGAAAGATTTTCCTGCATGTCCCTACACGCTCCTATACAGGCAGCCATCCTTACGCCGCTCTCTTTTCTTTCCATCTCCTCTTTCTCCTCCGCCTTTTACTCATACATATCCCGGCATCCAAGACGGAAATTTATGATACGTCGCGCATTTATATTCCCGCGCCTCTCATAAATTCTGCTTTACGCGCATGTAAGTGGCTCCACTTTTGTTCATAGATTCCTACGACTGTCAGATTTATGTTTCCGTACGCGATATATGATTCGACAATCTAAGATTGCGGGGGGGGGGGGGGAGAATAGAAGAAAGAAGATGTGTAGTACATTGGAAAAGATACGTAGTTGGTGCAATTCCATCGAGCTTGCACTGCTCAAAATCAATACGAAGAACAAATAAATTATAATAAAAATACTTTAAATTATATAAAGGTTCTATTCCCCATTTGAATCAAGAACTTCGAGACATCGAAATGTTGAGAAATGTTGAACAGGATGTTGTGAAAATATTTGTGTGATAATATATTTTAATAATAATTCCAGACGTTTTTCACACGCGTTAAATATTTTGATTTTCTTGGTCGATCGTGCATTCGACGATCATTCCTTCCGTGTCATTTGAACGGATAGGATTTTCGTACGAGCATTTCCGCAAGCGATTTCGACTCCTTTTCTCGTCGCCTAAAGGCTCGTCTGGACGTCGGGCAAGCGCCGATGTATACCCGACGTATACGTAAGTACGTGCAGCCAGGACGATAGCCCGGGAGAGAAATCCGGCTTCGTAGATAGGAACGACGGGACCCGATATTACATACTTTGCGATACAAGAGCTACGAAAAACGCCCCCGGGCCCTACTGCTGCCGCCATCGCTGTAGGTATAGGTTGGGATTATAATAATTCGCGTCACTGCGTCCAATCTCAATTTGCCTGTCTGGACGAGAGCGGGATGTATCGGCAGGAAGCAGGACTCGGTACTTCGTTAAACGAACCTGTCAGCTTTTGTCACCTACTTCATAATACTTTCCTTTCTTTTTTTTTAATAATATTTGAAATTGTACGATATCGAGCATCGACTTGTCGAGTTAAAATAAAAAAATTTTGGAGAGTGATCAAATATGGAAGAGAAAGAGAAAAGAGGAGGTGGTGTGTGTGTGTGTGTGTGTGTAAGAGAAATTACTTTTTCCCTTACTTTAATTAAATCATATTCATAAATTTTGATATTTTGATATTATTACAAGAAATTAATCATATAAATTATAAATTAAATGTTTATTTATTTATCTTATTTGCTTTTTTCTTCATACGTACAAAGCTTCATTTATACTTCATTATCTCTTCTTATTATCAGGAAATGCTTGCTTGATTATTTGGTTACTATGCTTTCTGTGATAATTGGCAATTATTCTATGTTGACTTACTAAACATGTACGGAAAATGATATTTAATTTAATACCACACAATCGCATTATACTAATGGTATGGCGATATTGATTTCCGAAAGAGCTTTATTTGTTGCTTTAACGGAGCCGAGAGCGATACGGATTTAGTAACCTAGCTATATATACATGTTATGTACATGCAAGTTTCTCTGTTAGGACACCTGAGTAAACAGCGAAAGCGGAAATTTTGGGATGATAAATTAGCACTTTAAGATAAATCAAAATATGAGACTAAATATTCAGGATTATTAATTAACTTCATTATGTCATTATCATCTCTTAATTTCTTAACTGACTTTATTAACTAAATATGAGAAATGTATATAAGTGTCTATATATATAGATATTATACTATTATAGTATACATGTAATATCTGCATCTTAATACACATATAAAATTATCAAATTATTTAATATTTTCCCTCGCGAATCTCTCTCGCTCTTCTTATACGTTCATTCATGTACTACACGCTCACACACATATTACACGATAGTCATACAGGCAATTGCTGCGAGCTCGCTTTGTGGATCATCATCTTCTATACAGGCATTGAATGGCGGCCGATGTATTTGTTTATCGTCGAATTCAGCACGACGACAATAGGAACGCTCAACCGCGAACTTAACGTTCGTCAAGCATTGTGCGCAATAAGTGTTCGACCCTCTTCACCGTATAATCCTCCTCTATGAGTTCTCTTACACAATCACACACACACACACACACACACACACCCCGCGCGCGCGCGCGCCCGCCCGTGACACACGTATTTCCGTTCCTTAGAGAGTGAGTATCCATGGCGTACGACAGGTGAACGGTCTATGGAATAAAGCCCTTCGTTGATCCTGTAGCCCAGAGATCTTCAACCTTACTGTACAATCTGCTTTACTGCCGGCCATTCTGCGCTTCCTCCGTCCTTTGATGACGGAAATCTTCTCGGCCGCCGTGATTTTATTTCTAATATATACTAACAGTTGCTGCGAATACCTGTATAAATATTTATTAATCGACGTTGATGTTACTTTCAATAGAATAGTATCACCGATGTACTCTTTCCGATCAAATCATAGACAAATGAAAAAAATATCACATAAAAAATAAATGCAAAAAATATACAAATACTATGATTGCAGCATGGGATGTACAGGTAATTCGCGATACAATCAAAAAGAGAATAATTGTTCTTGTAAAAACAAAAAATATGGTATAAAATTTTTTATACGGGACTTCGTTTTCTAGGAAATTAATTTTAAAAATTCGTCAAATATAAACAAAAAATAAAATCTGAAACAAAAAATTGTGTAAGAATTTGAAAAATTAAAAATAGAGATGCATTAGCATCCGTATTTCTTTAATTGGCCGAGTAAAATTTTCAATAACGAGGAGAATAATATTTGTAACATAATAAAAGAAATTATCTGCAAAAACCTTGTTGTCTTATTTGAATCATAATACTGCTATAATAAACTATTTATAAACATTAACACGTACAGAAAACAGAAACAATCAGTAACAAAATGACAAGATAAGTTGTATTCAGTCGTACACTGACGAATTTTCAAAATCAATTTTCTTAAGAACGGAACATCATATAAAAAAAATTTGTAATATAGATACTCGCACAAGAAGTAGGGAGGTCCATATTAAAATCCTGGCTGAGATAATATTCTTCGCAATAGTTATTTTCACAGGATTAAAAAGATGAACATCAATATTATTATTAAAAATAAAAATTGTTTGGCAATTTAATTCGTGATATTACGTATTCTGGATTCAATACGTATATAAGCTGTATTTCAAGACTGATTTTGCGGTGCAGTTTGCTGAAACTGAGGATTGTAAGATTTATACAAAAATATTATTATTATATAAGCACCAAATAAATCCGCTTCAGACCGTATTTGGCGTTTCTCTTTTGTTGTTGGACTTTTCACGGTCTCGATTTTCCACAGATTTCTATATTGTAACATTAGATTGCTACTTAGATAGCGGAAGGTGAAGTATAGAAGTCTGTGCGATTTTCATACTAACATTTTATGTTATACTTTTTGTTTGTTTTTATATACATATAAACAATTTTTTGTTCTGCTGTATGTATTATAAACGTCTTACCTTGTACAAATAAATGAAAAAATATATTACATAATGTATAAATAAATGTAAAATTATAAAAATATTACTGCAAATTAGCTAAATTAAATGTACTTCTCTGATTAATAAACAATTCGAAAAATGATTCAATTAATTAAAAAAACAATTTGATAAGTGAACAGTAATTAAGTCGAAAAACAATTAATCTATTTCTTTATTAAATTATAGCATTATTTTTAAATATATGTAACGTAACATAATAATTTTTAATAGCAGTAGTGTTGATCACAATTCTGTTTTCTAAACTTAATTCTTATTACCAGTCTAGATATTTTTATTTAGATTTGATAGCTAATAATATTTGCGATATTTTTTGTTACAAAACTAAATTTAAAAAAAAAAGGAAAAAAGAAAATTATTTTCAGCTGCGTTGATAGAGTAAAGCGCTACGCACTAGTTTTACCCGGGGTGAAAATATCGCGTAACCTCTGAATGAACGCGCGGTAGCGTACGTTGCGGTGCATCCATGTGTATAGTGGACCGGTAATAGTGTCCAGGACGACACACAGCCGCTATGCAACAATGCACGTATCTATAGCTTCCTCCTTTCTGGCGCAGCATCATGACGCTCTTCTAGCTGTCATGATACTGTCGCGCTGTATCGTGCGTCAGATTTCGTCCGAGAGGGGCCGGTGATTTTCCGGCTTGCGGTTTAGCTTTAATCTCACTGACGTCAAATTTTAATACAGAGAGCATACAGAGATAGAAGGAGAGAGAGAGAGAGAGA